TGATGCTATAATAAGAACTTTATGTTCACTAATTTTTCTGATGTTCTTTCCGACCTTTTAAATAAAGGAAATGGAGCAAGGGCTTTCATGTTTACAGTTTATTAAATAATAATTACACTTGATCAATGAAAAGGCGACATATTAACAAAAGTATCCTTCCCAGATTATTTGATCATTCGATTAATGTTGCATCTCATTTTTTTCCTGGTTCATTTTGACAGAAGTCACCCGGTAATAAAGTTAGGTTGAAAATTAACTTTCACTCTTCTTAGAAACACAGTAAAGGTGATGATCAGACAGAAGAGAAAGCAAGTTAAAATATGTTACATTTATACATTTATATTTATAGTTTTTGCATGAGGAGAGCTTTGACGGAAATACTTAAAGAAATTACAATGCTCTGTATCAGTCTGGGTCTAATGAGCAAAAAAAGACTTGTATAGACACGTCACATGATCTTACAGTAAGACATGATAGCTGAATACACCAGTAAAGGGGCCAATGCATGCTTTCATTGGCTGATACCCCCGAAAAACACTAATAGTGACCAAAAATATGATTAGATCGACGCATCGATCCATCTCTACTTTACACTGATTGTGTTTCTCCTGAGCTCAATTATACCATCCTCAGCTTCCATCATCGCTTTCTCAAATCAGCACTTTCCTTTGCTATAACTGAAAATATTTAACAAGACAATTAGGGCTTGGTAAAAAAATCGATTTTCGATCGATTCGTTTACATTTTTGCAAAAATCGATGTGTAGAGAATGAGATTGATTAGTTTAATAGTGAAGCTCACATTCAAATGAGCAGGCGTGTGCAAATGCCGACCCCAGTAACACACCGCTCAGCATGCTGTCCCAACTGAAGTCTGATGTCTGGAAACATTTTGGATTTAAAATAACTAAAGATAATGTGCTGGATATGTGACATTAAGGTCACTTCCCACTACATTGATAATGATCTCATGCTACAGGCCACCAAGATGACTTCAAGCCAGACAGCTGCAAATATAGCCAATAGGTTGACTGAAGACATTAACAAATGGGGGCTGACCAGCAGACACCCTGTAGTTGTTACAGACAATGCTGCAAATATGGTTTGTGCAGCGAAGATAATGCAGCTCATGCATGTCTGCTGTGTCCCCGCCGTGTCACGCCTGCTTGCTCGTGTGAGGCTTCACTTTTTCAATTTTCACAAACAAGTTTGCACTTTTGAGGCAGTTTTGTTCACATCTTAAGTTTAAAATATCTGATTTACAAGTTTGCACTTTGTGTTTTATATGACAGGAAAAAAATAAAATACATGAGCATTTTGAAACACTGTTAAACCACTTTCATTATTGTAAAAACAGATCGAATCGAAATTAATCGATTTAGAACTGTATGAATCAAAATTTAATCGTTTCAGGACTTTGGCCAAAAATACCCAGCCGTAAAGACAATTAAACAATAAATAAGGAAACATAATTTGGGAACAAGATGAACTGATTCCCTGCTAAGCTAATGCTAACCAATGTTACTATTTGTGTGCAGAGCTCCAGCTTTGTCGCTCTACTCTCAGAGGACCTGCCTCAATCTGTTATTAATTTTTCTGGCATCTGGAGACTTTTCATTTCTGCTCTTTAAGGGGGGGTGGTTGTTGTTGTTGTTTCTTTTTGCTCTGGCAGATGAAGCTTAATGAAAACGGTTTAAATGATCATTGCAAATTGAGGCCAGATCTTCCTTTTCCCTCCGTGTTATCAGAAAAATGTCGTCAGTTTTTGACCCATTCCTTGCTTTTTAAAAGTTAAACATTCATGCCTGTTTTTCCCACAAACCTTCTTAGTGTGAGGTGATAAATGTCACATGTGGGTGTTTTATTTTGCAAGGTCCAAGGAAAAAACAGTGGAGGCTTTAAGTTTACTCTTTTCTGGGTTGAATTTGTCTGATATTTTTCATTAAAATCAACATCTCCAATATTACACTTTTTTATACAGAATTTTCTGTAGTTAAATAATTTTTTAAGCTTTAAAATAAGCTTTCATTGACTTGCAGAGATGCATCATCTTGGATATTCGATTAGAAATTCTTAATTTTGTTACAGGATACATCTGTTGGATAACCTTTTAAAAAAGATTGGTTTTCCTTTTTTCTTTTTCTGAGAAAAAAATAATCACATCATTCCACTTTAACCCTTGACCTCTGACCTCCTTGAGGGAAAACAGAAACTGTCCCGATGACGAGCGCAAAGTAGAAATGTGCAGCGTTGCTGGTCTGCATGTTAGAGCGTGGCTCCAGCTCAAAGCTAACATCTGGAAATGTTAAAGCACTGATGACTCCTGCAGAATCCTGCTGCAGCCAATCAGAGCCTCACTTCCTGGAAGCTCTCTGCCAATCAGGGAGCCTGTCTAAGCTGAGGGACGGTCCGGTTAGAGTTTCAGACCAAAAGAAGTCGAGGAGAAGCAGAGAGGGGAGTGAGGAGATTAATTTCTGACTTTATAGATTGCAGAAGAAGAAAAGTAAGGATCAAAGTTACATTTTGAAGAAGCAAATGTTTAGCTGTGTTTGAATCTAAAGCAGAAGCTTAGCTGGTTTACGGTTTGGACTGGGAAGAAAACAAAGGAAAGGAGGTAGGAAATGGAAAAACTCACATCCATACAGGAAAGTCTCCTAGTTTTTATGTTTCTCTTTAACTTAAATGATGAAACTGCAGGAGCTTCAGCTGAAATGAGTAAATAGTTCTTTGTTTTTCTGGATCATTTGTCAACTGGGAGCTGACAGTTTTATCTAAAGGATGTGACAGACTCTTCCTTTGGTTGTTAGGTTGGACTTTTATCTGACCTCCTCGCTCCATGTCAGCTGCTCACAGAAAAAGTTTCCATAACAAATGAAAAGACTGCTTTATTCTGGTACTTTAACCTAAATATACCACCTAGTTTAATTGTGTAGCTTAGACAATGATCCAGGTAAAGTTTTAGTGCCATTTTCACATTAAAGCCCTTCTATAAAAGCTCTTCTCTCAGAAAATAAACAGTTTATTCTTTTGGGCTTGTTTAAAGAAATAAAATGTAAAAAGTGTTAGTTTGGGAAGTTAAGGAGGAGAAAAAAGATGGTTTCTGTTGAAGCTTCAGCGCAGAGTGGGCAGATCAAAAGCTGTGATTCAATCTGTGGGAAATAAGTTTAGATGACCTCATCACTTTTCTACGGAGCATCAAGGACGCATAAGAATATCTGGAGACTAGAGTAACAGGCTTGTTTTACTTAAATTGATCCAGATTTCTGCATCTCGTTCATATTTGCAATATTGAGGATCATCATGCTTGTAGATGGAGCCAGTATATACCAGCTGTTCAGGACAGAAGTCTGATCTTTATCCTGTCGAAGCTGCCTAACAGTTCACACACTAAACCAGGGGTAACCAGTTAAAAATCAGCAGGGTCCAAATAAAGAAAATCATCAACCAGTAAAGGTTCAGAGACCTTTTTATTTATAATCTGTTACTTTAAAGATAATTTAACACTGAAATAAAATGAGGTTTTTATGCATCCGTGTTATACATTGAAATTTTAAATAAAAAAATATATTTAAAAAAATTAGAACATCTTTCCTATTTAAAATTTAAAGTGTTTATTTTCAAGTAGAGAACAACAATCATTCAGTTTGGTATATAGACAATTACCTAATTCACATATTTAACACCTGAACTGACTGTTATTGTTTTTTTTTTTCTTTCTTTTTTCTGTCCTAATCAGAGCAGTGTGCTTTATTCTGCCCTGCAAGGCTTTAAACCTGGTTTGAATGCAGACAAAGTCATTCTAAAGCACATATCCAGGTGCTCATTATAAGCCTAGATCCATATTGATTTTTGATTCTGTTCACGGTGGAGAATCCTGCTTCACAGCAGCAGGTTGAGCCAAACATACTCAAAATGTTCAGGGTCATCTTTGAGCACCATTTCACTTTTCTTTCACCAGTTCACTGCAGTTCTTCCAGCATTCCCAACTTTCTTTCACTTTCTCATCATCTTCTCCTTCTTTCCCATCGCCCGGCTTGCCACAGGTTTGCCTGCTGTGTCTAAAAGTAGCAGCAGCAGCAACCCAGACTGACAGCAGCCCATTGGCTAACTTGTATCACACGTAGCCGGGTCCTGGGCGTTCTGGAGGGCTTTACCGTAAAAACAGGAGAAGCGGCTCAAGTGAATATAGACACTGCTGTTGGACAACATGCGGTGTGTTTAGGTGTTTTAAATCAGGTGGGGTCCGGATCCGGACCGTGGTCCGCTAATCTGTGATCTCTGCCCTAAAGGTTGGTTTATGTCAGCGTGGAAATTGAGACATTATAGATAGATAGATAGATAGATAGATAGATAGATAGATAGATAGATAGATAGATACCCATGTAATCACATGTGCATTAACCCTGTAAAAATGATCCTACTATAAAAAAAGAAATAAAAATAAAAAGCTGTCATATGTGGACGCACTGTATGTACTGTATATATCCATATCCATGCACCTTTTTCTTCCTTTAACACCTTCTCCTTCTTTGACTATTTGAGCTGATGTAAGGAGTAAATCTCTCCACTGTGAGATCAATAAAATCAATCAATCAGTCAATGGCCCGTAATGAAAGCGGAAACTGTAAGTTTAACTTTTTCTTCCTCTTTTAATAGCAGGTCTATACATGCAATCAGAGGTGTGATGACACCATCAGTCAGTGCAGAAACCAGGCCTCATGGATGCCATGTTTTTATAGTCTATGCAAGGTCACCATCTGCTTCCTGCTCGTATATTGATCCTGTTAGATTGTTTTTCGCTGACCTTTAAACAGCTAATGTATATTTTCAGACTATGCTAAACCTCGGGGAGAGCGGTGACACATCATTTTGAATAGGAGTAAAAGAGGAGAATCTAGGAGGTGTTGCCTCATTCTAATTGAGTTCTTCATCAGGATATGGAAGCGCAGCTTTATTATCTCAGATTGCTGCTAAACCGACTGTTTTTCTGCTTCTCCTCAGGTCGGCCTGACAGACGTAAGCCAGAGCATCGCCACAGGTAACCTTTTTTCTTTTATTTTTATTTCCCCCACATGGGGAAGGCAGGTTGGTCCAAGGAGGAGCATTTGATGTTGAATCCTTTTGATCTTTGACAGTTGCTTTAATCGAATGCAAGGGTTATTTGGCTTAAATAGAACAAAGGAAAACCTCTTCAGATGTTCAGGAGAGATTTGCATGCGGTTTAAACTCATCCTGCTGTTTAACTGCGGCTCAGGCACATTTCTTCTGTTCTCTTACTGACTTCCACGTTTTAACTTTCCTCCCCTTTGGTCTCTGCTTCTTACACACTCCCCAAAGTATTTACCCTGTTGGCTGGTTGGCATGGCGACCTGTAGAAGTCATCGGGTTTAAGGATCTGGAGTTTATTCATCAAAAACAGAGAAACATGACCCAGCAGCAGCAGGTGTTGAATCATCTAAACCTCTCTGATTCGGCCATGTTTAGTTTTAATGTTAATTAATGTTAATGAAGTTTCCCACTCTTCATCAGAGGCTGGCACTGCTGTTATTGCTTTCAGCTCCTGACCTTCAGCAAAACACATGTTTAAAACTGCAAAACAAAGACAGCTTTGAGTGCAGTCCCATTGCAGCACAACATAAAACCCCCACAGAGGATGACTCAGACGTTTAAATGGCATCATAAAGCTATTATAATCAAGTAAATGTGGTTTTGATTACAAATGCTGTGCCATGATGTCAATGCAGAGATCAGAAGCATTAAGTTGTAGTTTAGTTTTAATCTATTCCTAAGATAGATTAAACTTTAAGCAAAATTAATTTAAAAGAATAGTTTTTTTTATGATGGTGATTCCCTTCTTTGGTTTATGTCAAACCTCACCTCCCATCTCTTTTTTGCAGTTGTCCCTGGTCTGATACTAGAGTTAAATACGGAGGACCTCAGGGATCTCTGCTCGGGAATTGAAATTTCTTTACAATCCATGTGCTTATATTGTGTAAAATGAATCGACAACAACAGCCGACAACATTGAATACGTATTTTGCTTCATATTTGATTAGCACCACTCGAGTACAGGTCAGGTAGGCCATTCCTTCCAACCACGTCTCCCCAGGTCTCACTGTCATTGCCCACATGAGTGTGAGGACAGAATTTCTAGGTGCAGCCAAGGTGTTGAGGGGATCTGTCTTGGTGGCCTTAGGATTGGGTCTCTGTTATTCGTGGATGATGTGGTTCTATTGGCTTCATCAGGGCGTGATCTACAGCTCTCACTGGAGCTGTTCGCTGCAGAGTGTGAAGCAGCCGGTATGAGGATCAAATCCAAATCCGAGACCATGGTCTTGAGTAGGGATGGGGATCGAAACCCGGTTCCATCAAGGACCCGGTTCCACTTTTTTCAAAACCCGAAAATCAATAACGTTTGGGCTTATCGATACCACTATCGAGTCTGGTCGTTTTTTTTTTTCTCCCGGAGGTCCTGTAACATAATTGTGTGTCCCTAGAGTCGCGTCACAGCATTTAAATCTAATCAATCCAATCACTGCAGCGTGTCCACCAATGTTTTGGAATGAAATTGTAAGCAAACATATTAAAAGTAAAAAAAGTGAAGTCTGGCACTTAACTTTGCTCGCGACTCGAGAATGGCTGAACAGAAAAGACGACTCCTCCTCCTCCTCCTGCCGCCGCAGTCGGGCCCGTCTTAATCATCCACTCAGAGTACCACTGGTCAGCGTGCACACAGACTTTGTAGCTTGTCCGGTCAGTTAAAAATATTAATTGTGAAATCCGTCTTGTAATCGGAAGCATACAAGCTAGTTAGCTTGAAAAGTAAATAAAGTTTCAGACGTGCTGCGTGATGATGTGTTCAGATTGGCTCAGTAAAACGACAATTAGGTTATCATGATGCGTTCAAGTGTAACGTAAAGAAAACGGCAAATTTAGTTTTTGGCAATAAACATGAGTAATACAGTTGTATATTGCTCTATATATAATTAAAC